GAGTGTTTGGGAAGCAGCGGGGGCCGGCCTGGCATATGGCACGAAACAGGCTCCAAATTGAATAAACAGTGAAGATGTGCAAAAACAAAGCAGCAGGAGTAGAGTCATTAGACAGCGGTCGTGTGCTCCTGCGATGCGATGGTATGGGCCGCCCGGTCGTCAGGACAGAGCGTGCAGATCGGTGTGAAAACTTGGCTCCCCAAGGCTCAAAAGATCAAAACATATTGATTCGCACAGAGGAGATGGGCAAATTTCCTCAAAAAATATGTTATTTTATTGGTAATAATTGGTAATCAGACCAAAACATGTTGTCCTAATCTTTTCAGAAAATATTTGTATCATTTTACAAATATTTTTTGAAAAGATTAGGACAATGTGATGATGTGAGGGTGGTCCTCTTTTTCACTGAAAAAGCTGATCTAAAGATGTGACAGAGGCCAAAACACTAGCGATAGAACCAAACATTTTTGAGAATTTGTGTTTACTCCAGCTTTAAATTGTATTTGCAAAGTGCTTTGAAAATATACATTGTGCTTTTATTCTGCAGTCAGAATCATCTGAGTCATAAAACGTTTTCATTTCTATTTAAGTTAACATTTGTGCAAAATCAGGAAGTGAGAGAGACTTGCTAAAGAGGTGCCTTGACAACAGTGTGCGTCAAAAGAACCACAATAATGATTCTTACCTTTTCAGAATTCATAATAAATTGATCAAAGCAAGTCAAAGATGCATCCCATTTTCCATGTTTGAAAATGCATGTTTTTACAGCGTGCCGGCTGCTCCCTGAGGCTTCAAAGCAAAGACATTAGACATGGCAATAACTACTGTATTTTGCATCTCAAGCTGTTTGCCATTGCTCCCTAATGTAGCGTCTGCAGAGACGGATGCAAGACACTCGCCGTGATCAAGTCATTTGTTATTTTCACAAATGGAAATATCTCTCTTATCCGTTGAGAGCATCTGTCGGAGGCCAAAGATCACGCTCAGAGCACGGCTTTATGCGCAGCGGAGGGACCTTGCTGTGCATCGTGTGAAATGCAAGCACCAAGGCTAACATTGCTGCTAAACTGTTCCCCGCCAAGTATCGTGCACTTTGATTTGTCCTTGTCTGTTGAACAATACTTTCCATCATAGTGGGCAGGTGTACAGCAAATACATATGTTTATTTGCAGTTTTGGTCTTGTGGTTCTGTATGAGAAACAGAATAGAATATGGACATATATGCTGAATAGACCACATGTTCAGCCTTGGAAATCCAATTGAATATTGGAACACGCTTCTTATGAACTACTGAAACCATACTGTGCTGGTCTTTGGACATTTATCTTGAAACCTGTGTCAATTAACATATTATGGTGACCAGATGTAATATTTTTATTTTTAATTACACCCACATCTTATATGTTGTATGTATGTGTCCAGATAAACAAGTCACACAAACATATCATATATGTATTGTAAAAAAAAAAAAAAGGTTTTCTAGCACTCATTTGGATTACCAGTTTCTTTAAAATGGAAATTTAGCTGGTTTTTAACAAACTTAACACTCAAAAATAGCACCACAAATGTGTTTAATAGAAACCAGATATACAAATAAGTAGTCATTTGTAATATGGTTTCTTGCTAAACCCAGCATGTGGATTGGGTCTGAAATAAGTGCCTATAAACTACATGTGTCACAGGCAGAAGATTCTGGCAACAAAAGTGTGATTGTAATGATTGTATGAGTGCACTTAGAGTGCTTATTTCGTACGGTCCCTTCAAATCTTAATATAAAGTTATAAAGCAGGGTTTCAAAACAAGCCAAATATGTAGCTGGTTGGGGGCCTTTTTTTTATGCCAAAGTTCTCTAATTTGCGTAAGGGTTTAGTTGTTGTTCTATATTAAACTTTTATGTAATGGAAGAGATTGTTTCCAAATAATAATTTAGCGTTGAAACTGTTTTCAGAGCAAGCAACTCATTTCACTGATTTAATTGGTTGTGGTTTAAAGGTCATGGTCATGAGCTTTGGGTAATGAGAGGCTGAGATCGGTTACAAGTGGTAAATATTTGTTTCCTCTGTACTCCCTTATAAAGATAGGGTGAGTAGCTCAGTCACACGAGAGGAGCTTGGAGTAGAGCCGCTGCTTCTTCATGTCGAGAGGATCCAGTTGAGGTGGCTCGGACATCTGTTTTGGATGCATCCTGGATGTCTCTGGGGAGGTGTTCCCTGCATGTCCCACTGGAGGAGACCAGGGAAAGTCATGTAGAATGGACTGTCTCTCTGCTGGCCTGGGAACGCCACAGTATTTCCCCCAGATGAGTTGGAGGAAGTGTGTTCGGAGAGGGAAGTCTGGGCAGATTAGAGATATCCAGTGGCCGTGCAACTGCAGGAAAACAAATACAGTCACTGGACAGCAATGTAAAAATCTCCTGAACTTTATTTCTAATATAAATATGACTTTTGTGCTGGTGACATTCTATCTACTATAATCTTACACACCTTGTGTAACACTTTGTCCTGATTTTTGTCTTATTTTGTATCACCAGATTCCCCCAGGTTTGGTGAAAACTCCCAGTGTTGTTTTTTTTGTAATCTCCCAAACAGACAGGTACTTACCCCAGCCAAGCTGCATAAGAACTGCACAAAGGAGCTGTTCAAATTAAAATGAGCATTGTGCCGTTAAGCCCTTCCGAATTTAATCCCGGCATAAGCTTTAATGTTGTTTGATTGGGAGCAGATTGTAGGCGGCGAGCTCCAACTAGGTCAATAAAAGCAGGTTGACTGTTTGAGTTCAGTGTAATTCTGCGCCCCTGAATCCTATGGCTAATTTTAAATCATCTCTGTGCTGATGTATTTGGGTTAGTTTCACACCTAAGTTTCATAGATTTATATAGAGGTGCCACAGAAATGCATCTGCAGACTAATATTAAGTTAAAAAGCCCACAGCCCGCAAAGTTATGAGTCATGCTGCGGCCAGCCAGCCACTGTCAGATTGGATTTGAGCACATTGGAACACATACATAATTTGATTGTGTTTTGTTGAATCAGCCAATAACATTACTTATAACATACAATAACACTGAAGCGATAATTTCTATGAGTGACTGATAGCCGGTCCCATGGCAAAGATTGTTGCATATCTGTCATTAACAGAAAAATATTATTTTGACCAAAAATGTGTAGAATTGGTTACATTTTAGTTTAGTCTTTATTTGAAAGGAACAGTGGGCAGCAACATAAAGACAAAAGACATCTTTGACATGATTGGCATATTAGCAAGTCAAAATTTTCAAACTGTAATATCTTGTAAATGGATAATGGCTCATTTGCAATAGCATATGCAATAGTAATAGCAGTAGTAACGATAGTAAATATAATACAAATAAATGCCAATAGGCTTAATTCATTCTGGCTGCACACTGAGAGAGAATGACAGAACAGGATTCTGATCTTGAACGCATGAGGGTTAAGTGGTATCTACTACATCTTTAACAACATTCAAACACAATTTTGATTTAGATAAGTCTGTAAAATAATAGTGGAAGTTTTATTTGTATCTGATAAAATTCCCAATATAATCACAACCTAATATTCAATAATACTCTTACTGACTTTTTTCCAAAGAGAATGAATAGCTTTACCATCAGAGAAGCTACACAACCTCATCCACAACTAACACAAAAGACTCCAAAATGTTGTAGATGCTAAAGGAGATACATATGTTATTAAACTGTTTAAAAAATACTACTTGTTTATGTTTTCTGAAGAATTGACAAAAAAAAGGTTTCATGCACAACTGTAACTCCAAATGGCATCTGATGCAATAAGAATCTATGTTTTGATAATCTGCCCGCTCTACTCACATGAACTTATGCATATCTTCATTGAATTTGCCTAAAACATTAAGTCAGATTTTCTTTATATGAATCTTAATCTGGGCAGAAGTTAGAAGTAAGTAGTAAGTAAGTAGTAGTAAGTAAGTAAGTATTTATTTATATACCGCCTTTTCACTGCAGATTTGAGTCTCAAAGCGGTTTACAATTGTTAATTTTTTGGGCATTTGTCTCTCACTCCACACAGATGGGAGCGGGGAGAGTACAGGAGGCGCATGCTAGAACTATTGGACATATTTTTAGCGGTAGGGGAAACCGGAGTACCCGGAGGAAACCTACGCAGACACGGGGAGAACATGCAAACTCCACTCAGAAAGGCCCTGGTCCGACCGGGATTCGAACCCAGGACCTTCTTGCTGAGAGGCGAGAGTGCTATCCACTCAGCCACCGTGCCGCCCAAGAAGAAGAAGTGGATGTGTTTAAGTTTTTGGGTTCAAATGTGAGTGCAGATGTTAAAGAGGTTGCACACATTCTTGGTGCAGTGAATAGAGTGGTGAGAGGTAAGAATGTATTTGTAAGGGTGAAGTTCGGTATGAGAATGTGGTAAGGTATGAGAGAAGGTGAAATGAAAAAAATGAATGTGTTTGAAATTAAATACTTGAAAGGTATGAAAGGTTTAACTAGGATAGAAAGAATGGGGAATTTAACAGCCTGTATAGTAGATGCATGTGTATTGAGCTGGTATCGGCAGAGAGGGGATTAAAAGAGATTGACAAAGAGAGTGATGAGTAGTTGCTTGAGAGGTAGACCAAGATATGGATGGAATGTTAGAGGTATGACAGTGGAAGAAGTGAGAGTTTGCACACAAGATAAGGATGCATGGAAAATGATTGCAAATGCATGAACTGACACGACCCTGGTCGTGCACTGCCTACTGGGTAAACCAGTGTTTGCTGTAGGACCCCTTTGCTTACTTGGTGGCTATCAGCCATGACGCCACTGTGGTGGCACCGGGCAGATGTATTGATTAACTGAGGGGAACTTCTACCTAACGTCAACCACCCTCCAGAGGGGGAAATGGTTTACGGCTATAGATAGAGAGATAAAAGTCTTAATCTTAGTTTGATTTTTTCAAACTAAGATTTGATCTGATGTCTAACCTCTGACATCATTCTGTGTGAAGGAAACTGGCAAAGAAGCGCAAGGAGACGCTTAACAACACGCGGCAGGAAATGACGGTGATGGTGAACTCGATGGACAAGAGCTACACTGAGCAAGGCACCAACTGTGACGAGGCACTGTCCTTCATGGATACCCATGCCACCCACAGCCTGAACACCACCAGCCACAGCCTGAACACCACCAGCCACAGCCTCAATGCACGCAGCGAGGCCGCACTCACGCTCAACACGCGCAGCGAATGTGCACTGACGCTCAACGGGAGAGGTAACCACACAACCACAAAAGTCAAGAGTACATGGTGGTGGGGTGGGGGGAGGACGTCCTTTTACAGAGCTAATCATAGACTGCAAAAGGCTAGTGGACAAACTCAATTTGACGGCAGCTATAGTTTTTGTCTTATACTGGATGAAACCGATTTGAGCTGATCCAAAAGCACCATTCTCATTAAAGAAGACACCTGTTTGGTCACTTATTATTGGCTTTTTTCAAAGACAATATCAAGGAATTGTAGGGTGTTAAAACCAATGGCGGTGAATTCAGTCACAATTTTAAGTCATGAAGCTTCCCTAATATACAGTCAATGGTACAAATATGATCAATTCTTGGATTTAAAATTTGGCTCTTAAACAACATCTTGAACACCTGTGGTTTGGCACTTCTTGTTTTAGAGCTTAAAAAAATGTGTCAGTAGTTAAAAGCTGACTTAGTGGGTTTGGAAAGAAATGGACCATGGTGGAAATGGTCAATTTATAATGCATACCAATCCCAACACACAAGTTAAATGTCAGTCCACAGTTCTAAAGTCATGTTCAGGCATTTGATGAAACAATGTTGTAAAAAAATACTGGATCAAAAAAGACTTATGTAGTTGTATTTCACTGACTCAATCAAATACTTGATTGGAACACACAAAAGTACACATACCACAGATAAGGAGGGTCTAATAATTAATGAAAGAGCATATCAAATATTTGTTTAACTTTGGATAATACTTATTTTAATGTAGATTACAGTGTGGCACCAATCAAGTTAGTAAAGATAAGTTCAAAACAGTCTGGTAGATAACGATCAGAAAAGATCTTCATAATACTTCACAAACTGATCTTCAAAAGCCATGGCTTCAAAAGGTTTATTTTACCACTTTTAATTTTTAACTCCTCTAATGACTTTACATGAGCCAGGCACGCACAGACTGTGGTGAAATAGACTTAATAAATATTTATAAGTGCCCAGAGGGTTGTTTCTTTGGGTTCAATAAACACATATTTTTACCATGTCAACATCTGTCCTCAAATCTGTCAAGTTAAAGCGGCTTTTTAAATTAGCCCCTTACACCTCACTGTGCGTATATTATATGATCTATTGGAATACTAAACAAAAAATACAATCTTGCCTTCTCTTGTTTTAAACATAGACTTTATATATAGACAGTGCCAACCCTCTAGCACAATGAAGTCCAAACAAGCGCTTTGCGCCAAATACTAACAATGACGGGTCTGTGGCTCTCATGCACGTGAGGGACATGGCCGAGTTCTGATCAGCACCTGCTGATCAGAGCGGAGCTAGTGCGGAGCTAGAGCAGAGCTAGAGCGGATTTAGAGCGGAGCTAGAGCGGAGCTAGAGCGGACCTAGAGCGGACCTAGAGCGGACCTAGAGCGGGAGGGAAATGAACAGTTTGTGGCATTAAGTGTGGATTAAAATAAAAAAAGTTCAGGATGACAAGGGACACTTCCCACAAAATCCGACATTATGAAAGCTGTAAGTTCTCTGTCAGCTGAGGTGGAGCTGTTTTAGTTTACATTAAATTCTATGGGGTAAAACTCTGGGTAGCCCGCGTAAATTTTTTCTTTTAGTTGGTAGTACCACGGGAAGCCCCCGAGCACATGGGTCCTTCAGCTATGAGCTAGTAATACCCTATCCAGTTATTATTCTAAATCCAATTAGTCCAATATTGATTTTCTTTTTCTTTTTTTTTTCTTTTTTTTAACTTTGGTTTTCTTTTCTTTTCGAAAGGCCCCCTTAAAAATCTGACGGGTCTGCGTGGCCCCCCAAAATAATAACCAAGAAGACAACATTAAGAATAGGCTCTTCTGGTTATTTTATTTTGGGGAAATAGCCTCTGCTACAAACATTGTAATACAAAAATGATTACAGTGGATTATTCAAGTCAAATAATGAACACAAATATTTTAATATTACAAACAAAACATTATAAATTTAACATTAAATAATTATATTGTTTTTCTATTTTTTTTATGACCTCCCGCGGCCCCCCTGCAGTACCCTCGCGGCCCACCAGGGGGCCGCGGACCCCACTTTGGGAGACACTGCATTAATAGATTGTGTTTGTCCCAACAGCTAGTTCTAAATCACACCACAACATCCTCTTTTCGACGTTTGTCTTTACAGAAAACACAGTATCTTTTGCATAGTTGAAAGAAAGAGCCCTGTGAGTCACAATTTGACTCTTCAGGCTTAAAGCTTTTTTGGCAGAGTTTACCTAAAGATGTGAGATGAAAGCAACGTGCATACTGAAAACAGTTTGAGAGATAGATACAAGTTACATTGATTTTAGTACATGGTTGATTTTTCAAAGTCACCTACTCTAAACTCATGATTAATTCACGTGATTAATGTGTTAAATTACAAGACTTATTGTTATAAATGAGACAGATGCACCGGTGGCGCAGTGGTTAGAACGCGTGCTTCATAGCAAAAATGTCCTGGGTTCTATTCTGTGTGGAGTTGGCATATTCTTCCAGTGTCTGTGTAGTGTGTGTTTTCTGTAGTCCCACAGTACAGATGGAAATTAGCTACAAAGCTGTGTTTACAGCTCCTGCTGTTCATTCAATAAACATTCTCCCATCCAAATAAACCTATTAATAATAAAATAAAATAAACACACATTCTATTAAAAACATGCATGCATTATCACTGGTTATTTATCCCATGTGCAAAACAAGACAACAACAGGAATTAACCCCTTATTTTAAAGCACCACCAATTGTTTTAACACAATCACGGCTTGCCTTTTTTAAAGTACTCAGGGCTTAATCCGCGGGGTGATGTTTTAAGCCCCATAGAGACACTTATTGAGAAGCATATAAGGTCAGCAGTCTCGTGAGAGCTTATCCGCGACTCAACGGAATAACTTTAATGGACTAGGCTAGGGTAAGGACTAATGCATTTAGATCATTGTGGTGACAGACAGCGGCTGATTCGGACAACCACACTGACAGACAGTTAATCAAGGTCAAGTCATCTTTTGGTCTCGTCTCCAGCGGGATGCGGATATAAGGCTGCCCTGCCTCGGTAATCTGATGGGTTTGACCGGGATTATGCCAGGTCACACCCTACAGGGCAGACTCAGGGGAGCTGCCAGTCACTCAGAGATTAAGAGTAACCTGGGCTGGCGAAATGAATAGGTCCTCACAACACTGGAATCTTGTATTAGAAGTTGTCAGCTGTTGTGAATCAATTTATGTAAAAGCCAAGGTCAAACATTATACTGTGGTGTTATTTTTTTGCCTTTGTAGTTGGCGTTAAAGTTGTTTTTTTCTAAAGACATTTATTTGTAAAGTGTATGACTCAGATAATTCTATATTAAATTGTATTGTATTTACAAAGTATTGTGAATCAAAAAACTTTCGTTAAAGATATTCTCCAGGGTCATCACTTGAGGTTTGTTTTGGTCAAATGTATAGCAAAATTTACTATTCACTAACCTTGTGGGGTCTAAATAACTACTTGAGTATCAAAATAATAGTTAAATACCGTCCAACTATGTTGTTACGTTGATCAATTGCCATCGATCAAATGTTTTTAGATGATTTATAATCACAGTGATTGTGTGAAAAGACTTAACTTTCCACAGATTGAACTTGTAACTTGGCCATGTAATGTCATTAGCTTAGTAGTATTCAACTCAATGCTCAAAGAGCCAATGAGGCTGCATGTTTTCATTCCAACCAAGAAGGAGGTCCTTCTTGGTTGGGATGAACATCTGCAGCCACTTGGCTCTTTAGGATTGAGTCGAATACCCCTGCATTAGCCGGTCTCTACAACAAAAAAAGTTTATTAGGCTTTCAAACCTGTCCCAAAACTTAGCCATGATACAGTGCCTTGCGAAAGTATTCGGCCCCCTTGAACCTTTCAACATTTTGCCACATTTCAGGCTTCAAACATAAAGATATAACATTTTAATGTTTTGTCATGAAACAAGTGGAACACAATCGTGAAGTGGAACGAAATTTATATAATAATTTAAACTTTTTTAACAAATAAAAAACTGAAAAGTGGGGCGTGCAATATTATTCGGCCCCTTTACTTTCAGTGCAGCAAACTCACTCCAGAAGTTCAGTGAGGATCTTTGAATTATTCAATGTTTTCCTAAATGACTGATGATGATAAATAGAATGCACCTGTGTGTAATCAAGTCTCCGTATAAATGCACCTGCTCTTTGATAGTCTCAGGGTTCTGTTTAAAGCGCAGAGAGAACCATATAGACAAAGGAACACACCAGGCAGGTCCGAGATACTGTTGTGGAGAAGTTTAAAGCCGGATTTGGATACAAAAAGATTTCCCAAGCTTTAAACATCTCAAGGAGCACTGTGCAAGCAATTATATTGAAATGGAAGGAGTATCAGACCACTGCAAATCTACCAAGACCCGGCCGTCCCTCCAAACTTTCATCTCAAACAAGGAGAAGACTGATCAGAGATGCAGCCAAGAGGCCCGTGATCACTCTGGATGAACTGCAGATAACTGCAGCTGAGGTGGGAGAGTCTGTCCATAGGACAACAATCAGTCGTGCACTGTACAAATCTGCCCTTTATTGAAGTGGCAAGAAGAAAGCCATTTCTCAAAGATATCCATAAAAAGTCTTGTTTAAAGTTTGCCACAAGCCACCTAGGAGACACACCAAACATGTGGAAGAAAGTGCTCTGGTCAGATGAAACCAAAATAGAACTCTTTGGTCACAATGCAAAACGATATGTTTGGCGTAAAAGCAACACAGCTCATCACCCTGAACACACCATCCCCACTGTCAAACATGGTGGTGGCAGCATCATGGTTTGGGCCTGCTTTTCTTCAGCAGGGACAGGGAAGGTGGCTAAAATTGATGGGAAGATGGATGGAGCCAAATACAGGACCATTCTGGAAGAAAACCTGTTGGAGTCTGCAAAAGACCTGAGACTGGGACGGAGATTTATCTTCCAACAGGACAATGATCCAAAACATAAAGCCAAATCTACAATGGAATGGTTCACAAATAGACGTATCCAGGTGTTAGAACGGCCAAGTCAAAGTCCAGACCTGAATCCAATCGAGAATCTGTGGAAAGAGCTGAAGACTGCTGTTTACAAACGCTCTCCATCCAACCTCACTGAGCTCGAGCTGTTTTGCAAGGAAGAATGGGCAAGAATTCCAGTCTCTCGATGTGCGAAACTGATAGAGACATACCCCAAGCGACTTGCAGCTGTAATTGCAGCAAAAGGTGGCGCTACAAAGTATTAGCGCAAGGGGTCCGAATAATATTGCACGCCCCACTTTTCAGTTTTTTATTTGTTAAAAAAGTTTAAATTATCCAATAAATTTTGTTCCACTTAACGATTGTGTCCCACTTGTTGTTGATTCATGACAAAAAATTAAATTTTTATATCTTTATGTTTGAAGCCTAAAATGTGGCGAAATGTTGAAAAGTTCAAGGGGCCGAATACTTTCGCAAGGCACTGTAACTGGAGACATGAAGGCCGATTTGCATGTCGTATCTACAGAGGAGAGGAGGGGTTATGTTCTAGGCTCTCGTTTGAAGAAATGGACTACTTTATGAGCCAAAAGCCAGCAAAAGCTCCTTAGCAACTGTTGCCATGACAATGAAAGAAAAAGCTTCTTGCATTAAACCCTGTTGTATAATAGACATAAAGCACTGTGTTTTTGCTCAGTACTGTGTGTACCTATGGTGATGCCTCAGGTGGCGTGATATGGAACCTGAAATTGAACATGAGATTCAAGCAGTATTAATCAACAGTAGTTTGCATTTGAATCCTCTCTGACCATACTATAATCATATTTAGGTACATTCCCAGGAAACCATGGTCACTGGCTGTTGTATGGAAAACCAAATCATAAAAGTTGAATAGTGCACATAAAAGTCTCTGTGCTTAGGTTATTGTTATGAGAAGCCGTTTAAACTGGCTGCAAGGTATTATTTTTCTACTATTATGGAGGGAAAATATAGATATTCAACGCGCGTACACAAACCTTCCATTACAAATTGACCTGTTTTGTCTTTTATGTAGTATCATTAAGATGTCCTGATTCCATGTGAGCATTCCTTCGTGGCTCAGTGAACTCAGCCAGATCACTGATACTTCATATTGATTTGTGTCCATGCAGCAGCGGGCTCCTCTCCCTCTTCCTTCACTCTGCCCAAAGCCAACACCATGAGCTCTTCCATGCCCTCGGGATCGTACTACCCAGGTAACCCCTCCTCTTACATGTTTAAATGTCAATAAGACTAACAGAAGCATCCAGAGATGCAAGCTTTATTAACAGGAAATGGAAATGTAATGACATAGATAGATACTGATTTGGGCATTGATAGTAAATTATGTTTTTGACATAATAAAGGACATGATAGTGTATTTGTGAGTAAAACTAATGAAGTTGTTTTAATCCCTCAATTTTCTTGGCTCAAGAGCTACCAGTACCTTGCCATCTGCTTCCAGGCATTTCCCAGAAAGATTTAGAATTTAACAAATTAAATTATATACTACATATTTCAAAATGTATTATTCAGATGCTGACACGCAACATTTGCTAAATGCAAATAATGACAGGACCCAATCTCAGACTCGCTCTCACCAATATAAAGATATTTTCTATCCCAGAACTACTCTGAAAAAGGTTGGAGTACCCATGCCAGAACACTTTTAACTTATCATTCATAGTTGACACCCCCCTATCGTCAATCGTCTGTTGACGATTCTAGATTGGTAAATCTAATCTTGTAGAATAAAGGGATTTAGGTAATTCATACTGATTTGCGTGTTTGATAAATATACAATACTGGAAAAGATTGTCTTTGTCTATACTCTGAATATGCAATATGAATCTCTCCTATGGGGATCAATAAAGTATCTATCTATTAAGACATGCGCATAAATAGGCATAATGGAAGATGTGTTTAATGCTTTCAATTCACTATTTTCTGTCTTCCCTAAAGTGATAAACAAGTATATGCGTCATTGAGACGTAAATTCAAACTCCAGCTCATTCATAGTGGCACATAACGTAATACTCCTTATACAGACATATTTTGCTTTTGATATTACTCAGGCTCATAACAATAGAAAGTTTGTGCAGTGGAGAAAACAGGAGTGCTGTTCACTGACAGCGATTGTATATTTGCATTTATTATACGGCTCCTCACAGCAGCAGTAGAATGCTCCATTGATTTGAATGTAATTTCAAAACGTTCTACCGGTCATTATTTTCTATAACGGACCTCTCAAAACAATAATGACCGCTGCCCATGGCAACGCACTCTCTGCTTGTCTTTCAAATGCGTGGATAACTCCGCAAGTAGTTCCGGCCACTCCGGAGCTAGCCACGCTCAATCAACACACTTACATGTTAATCAGAGAATACTTATACATATACATTCTTCACACACGTGCACGGAAATTTTCAGAATTTTCTGGTCTTGTCTTCATGACAAAAATACTTTTTCTCTGCGTCAAAAAGCGATCGTGAAAAACCCGGAAGTAGTTCCGGCCACTCAATAAACGCAAATGCCAATCAATCAACGCAATGAAATGTTAATCGGAGAGTAATACAGTAGTAGTAGTACATATCCAGTCTTAATACAAGTGCACGGAAGTTTTCCGAATTTTCCGTTTACGTTTTCATGACAAAAACACTGATGTAATGCGAGAAAAGGCGATCCCGAAAAACCCGGAAGTAGATACCGGCACATTTTAAGATACCGGCACATTTTCGGACACATTTTCAGAGGATCGAATTATGGATTTAGGTTAGGTTTATGTACAGTATGGGTCACTCACCGCTGATGTTCAGAATTCTTTGTTCAGTTTTCATGCAGTTCCAGGGAGTTCTAGTTTGGAAGTTGCCAGCCTAACTGTTGCACTAGCATAGCCACGGGAAAACCTTTGGGAACTATTTTATTTTCTGTCATTAAATAAACCTTTCGGCATTCCTAAAAGTCGACTGAAGTTTATGTGGTGTGTTCTGTCGGTACTTATTTTCCGATAATGACCTGCGTAATATACGTTATCCCTTACATATTTTTGTCATATTTTGACAATCCTCAACATTTTCTTTTTTGTATTTTTTTGTTGTTGTTTGTTTTGTGCTAACCTTTTAAAATAGTTTTTATTTTAATTTTCATATAGCTGATTGTATTTTTGTGATGGACCCCAATGGCAACGAATGTTGATTCATACCAAGTAAACCAAATATTATCGCACATGTACATTTACGCACCAAATATGTGCAGAAGATGCTCGGTCTAAAACGTAAGTTTTTGTACACGGTGCAATCCCTCTTTCGTCTTGGAGTGACATCACAAACTAGGCTAGGACTAAAACAGGACTTTGACTGTATTAATACCTCTTTGAGCACATAGTTCCTATTTACCACCACTTGAGAACCAAAGCCAAAGATGCGATATGCAATGAAATTGAACTATTATCTCAAGAATAATTTTGTAATCATACTCAATATGCCTTCTAAATTGAAAATATCCACTTATGGTTAAATGACTTGCACGCTAAAAACTATTGGACTATAGTGGCAAATGGATGCACTTTAACAGTTTGAAAGAAATGGAAAGATTCATTTGCAACAGCTTTTATGCATCGTGTAACAGCTATATTTTTGAGTTGATGAAATTTGAATGTTCTGGTGCGTGTGCTTTTCCAAATTATCTATGTAATTGCATGTCTGGAGTAATCAGATCACAGCTCATTGATTAGACGGAGAAAAGGGAAACCCAATCTCCAATCTGCTGCACTAACTGAATGATGCTGTTTTTACTGGAAGTTTCCCCTCATATTGCAAATGTATTGTTGAATATATTACCAGCCTAACCTAATACCATCTCAGCTATGCAAGGTATAATATGTCTTTTATATATTCCTGGAAATGCATGAAGACAAGCAATATTTGGGTTGGCAATTTTATTTCAGTCTGGATTTCAAGCTGTTTATCCAAGTCCCCTGTGTTAGAAATTGGTAAACATAAATCAAAGATCCTCACCAAATACAGTGAGGAATATTAAACTATAGTTACAGAGATGTAACTGTTGTTGTAACTCAATTAGGGTTGCCAACCGTCCCTTAAAATACGTATTTTAGAAAAACTATGTGCAACCCATATTGTATCGATACGGGACGGCTTTTGACCCGTATTTTCAGAGTCGCCTTAAATGCATAACTCACTCACTGCATATCACACACACACGGTGGCTGAGTGGATAGCACTCTCGCCTCTCAGCAAGAAGGTCCTGGTCGAATCCTGGTCGGACCAGGGCCTTTCTGAGTGGAGTTTGCATGTTCTCCCCGTGTCTGCGTAGGTTTCCTCCGGGCACTCCGGTTTCCCCTACCACCAAAAATATGTACAGTAGGTCTGGCATGCGCCTGCTGTACTGGCCCCACTCCCATCTCTGTGTGGAGAAAAAAAGAAAATAACACTTGTAAACCGCTTTGAGACTCAGATCTGCAGTGAAAAGGCGGTATATAAATACTTACTTACTTACTTACTACTTACACAACACACACAGTAATCACAGTTTAAGCGTCAACCTTTCGTTCAATCAGTGTCAAAGGGGGGCGTAGGCTTGAACACATCCATGGGCTTAATGTTGACAAGCGCCAGTGTGGTAAATGGTCTTTACTGTAACACACATAAATAATGTATGTTAAAGCATTTGTCTCTTTTGTATATTTCTATGACTAAAAATCATGCATTAATTCCTTAACCAGACAAAGAGTTCAACCTATCTATTAAATTTCCTTTTTGACTAAGGATTTGTTTTTTTATATATGAAGCCAATAAATTACTTCTAAAAACTGTGATAATGAAATTTCATGATTACTGTGTAGATTGAAATTAGGACTAAAAGTGCTCAACTCAATCCACCCAAATGGTGTCCCTTATTTTTCTGTTCTCCAGTTGGCAACCATAAACTCAATTATGTGTTCTTTGAACATCGCAAAAATCTGTAATTCAATGTTTTGTTCAATTGAGCTAAACTGGAACTTAAGTAAGAACTAATATACTATTTTCTAAAACAGGGCTTAATCAACATTTGGCCATATTGTCTTTAGCCTCCAGATACTACATTCCCAAGCCTTAGATTATCCTATAAAAGATAATAAAACGGTTAAAGGAGCTGCTTGTGATTAGTGGGAAAAAAATTGTGTTTATTACATTAGGTTACGTTCATGCTGGAGAATTATATTTCAGTTCAAGTGCATGTGCCAATGTAAGCAGTTGTTTAAGTGACATTTGATTAGATTCACAAACCTGCATATTATCCTCAATGCACAGAACTATTGAAACTCCATTCAATCTTGAGGAAGTTGGCAAAAAACAAGAACACTGAATGCAAGTTTAACCGGTGGATTGTTGAGTAGAACTGAAGTAATACAGGTTGGTAACTAACTACAACACTATGTACAACGTGCCAGGTTTATGAAAAGTATTTGTGAATTAAACGCATGTATTTTACTAACTTTATTTATTTGCTGTGTCTCTCTCCTCCCTCACTTTGCGTTGAGCAGATCCATTTGTGCCAACTGCTATTCTAGGTGAGACACACATCCTTCTCTCTCTGCCTTTGAATCTCTCCTAATGCGCTTGTAGTACACGCCAATGTAAGAATTTCTGTTCCCATATCTTTTAAGTTCTGTCTTCTCTCTTTTGAAACTGGCTTCCTCACCTCCATACCTGCCTGCCGCTTCCTCTGGCCTCGTCGTCTTACGTGCCCCTATATCTTCCCCCTCTCCTCTCCCGTCCTCCCCCTCTCACTCCCATGTCCCATCCAATCAGGGGCTGTCCCGTTGCTGTGGCTGGCTTCACTCATCCCCATGTGTATTGTCGTGTGTGGTGGGCTCCCATGTGCATGGACTGGAGTGGATGCAGAGGAGAGCTGCGGCCGGGCAACTATCCAATCACCTACACAACCCTCAAAAACAAAAGAAATACTCGGATATCTATGTATTGCAAACTAGCATAATAATGTTTCTTCCATGATGGATTTATACATTTAAAAGGTTGAAATGGAGAACAACCATACATTCGCATTTAGTAGTGCAGACCAGCCCCCACAGATTTAAACTAAATGTAATGTAGTATTAAGTTTATAGGTTAATATATATATGCTTATTTGAGCAAATAAAAATTGTGAAAAAATGATCTTGCTTCCCCCAGCGACAGTTCCAACCTGTATTGTAGAAATGGGATAAGTTAAGAGCTCCCTGCTGACTGGTGTTGCGAATTAGCCATACTGTAACACCAGCATCCGATTACTTCAATCTGTTGGTTGGAACTGCCCCTTCATAAATGACAGCAACTACAGGATTCTCAGAGTATTTCTCACATTAATTGATTTTAAAGTAGCTCCCAACAACTCCAAACTTGCTGCCCTCACGCCCCGCCCCTCTCTCCTCACGTACACATTAACTCCCTCCCTCCCCCTCCCACAACAACAAAAACCTTTTCTATTATTCTTTTTAATGTGGCTCACCGCGCCTTTGGCTAAAACTAACTGCTAGTGACCTACTTCTTCATCTTGTTTTTGGTAGTGTCGCTCGGAGTGGAAGCTGTTTATCCACCCGGTCGAAGCAATAAAACTCATACAAGCTCCTAAATTTTTCCTTTTAATTATTAGTGGCCTCTTGGTACGCCCACACACACCCACCATGAAGTCTATTTTTTCCATCTCTCATCCTAGTTACCGATGAATATTGAATTTACCGTAACAAGAAACTGCCTCGCCACTGGCTGCATTTTTAACGACGCCAAAGCAAAGATCTTCATTGAACGCAACTCAAAACAACATGTTTCATCAGTAAGATCGCAGCGGCAAACTGCACTGCCACACGTGATGAACCAGGAAATAATTGCGCTGCTGTTTCGTCACAGGAAAGGCGTTGGATGGGGACAGAGTTGAGGTCAATGATCAAATCTAATTGAGGTTTTGAAAAATGTAAAAATGCATTTTAAGTATGCAACACAGGTCCATTCAGAGCTGTCCAAACTACAGCTGTTGCATTTGTTAAATTAAGATGAAGAGATCCTTTATTCGTCCCACAGTGGGGAAATTTCAGTGTTGTTACAGAACAGTCAGAATAGGGAGCACACATCACAAGATTAGTGACTATACTTTATCTTTAATGACCAAATCGGCCCATAAAACCAACACTTGGGTTAACGTTACTTTTTATTCATAGACTGTGTATAGTTGGACAATACTAACACCCTAGCGTAATTAAGCTCAATAGGGAAGATCTCATGGCCAAAGTTTTGCCCCTGGCTCTTATTGATATTGAAAAGTAAACTCCTCTAGCCCAGTTTGTGTCACTTAACACTTTCTTAAGCGAGTAGCTCCTCTCAGTTTTTTCAATAGTTTAGTTTAAATTAGTGTTTATTTGAAAGAGACAGTGCACAGCAACATGCTCAAAGAGTGATATGTTCTGCAACAAACTATAGCTACGCATATCATTTCCATCTGCAGTCCCTTAATACGTAGTATTTACAGTATTTACAGAAAAGATACAAAGAGGAAGGACACCTCTGTCATATCTGATCTTTTCGTTGAAGCGTTTGAATCCGTTAGATTTCATTGACACATTCTTCTTGACATCACAAAATATTCTTAACAAATAAAACTATAAAGTCTCCATGACTCATTTTTTCCGAAAGTGTAGTTACACCCCAGTAAAGCTGCATTTTAAGAAATAAAATGGCATATTTTGTGAAATGAATATGACAGATTTATTGCAGTAATTGTAGTGGGATTTATTAAGCCTTTCTTTGTTAAAAACATCTCAGAAAAATAGACTTTTTTGAAAATTGACTATAAGCCATAATTCTCAACATGTAACAGAGGCTTGGCATATGTCATGTCTATATCATATATTGGTCTAAATGTAAAATTTCAAATACTGAAATACTTTTGAACATTATTTTAATGTTTCTAGCGTCACCTGTATATCAGGTACAGTACAAATTTAAAAAAGAAAACGGTCCTGACAGGGATTACATTTACATTTTCTAGTCTAGGTGTCTTCAACTCGGTCCTCAAAGGGCCAGTGTGGCTGACGGTTTTCATTCCAACCAAGCAGTAGCACACCAGACTCCACCCATTTTATCAATTGAGTCCAGTTTTAGCCTGATGACTTTCTGAGATGGGTGGAGTCGGGTGTCCTCCTGCTTGGTTCTCTTTGAGAATCGAGTTGAATACCCCGGGTCTAACCTGTTGCACTTCACCTTGGACAAGGCTATAACAATTGCATTAAATTCTATTCAAAATTGCCCCAAAGTTGCAACCAAAATGTCACTATTGTTTTGTCCCTGAAATCCATTACCTCCTCGTTTTTAATTTTGTCTTGCACTGTCAAAATCTTCCATTCATCCACTCTACATCCCCCTCTTTGACTATATAGGCTACTTCCATTAGCCAGCGCAGTGATCTTGCCTTATTATAAGCGTTTCGACTCCAACTTGACCAGGTTTTCATGCTGTATTGTTCTTCTTTTTCTCTCTCTCTCTCTCTTCCTCCACACACACAACCTCTATTGTATCTGCTATCTAAAAAGTGCCCATTAATGGTAAGTTCTCCCAACTAGGGCGATCGGGTTGGGGAAGGAGGTGGTTTTATCAATGTCAAAATCGGAAGTTCAGACCAGCTTCCGTGTCACGCATCACTCACACATACATTCCGTTCATTTCTCTGCATGACATGTTAGCATTTCCACCTATAATCCACTTTCTTGTTCTACCACTGAGCTGTCATTGTTAGCCTAGCATGGTCAAAGTCCTGCCCCCCCACTCTCTCATAGCCGCATCCACGCATCCCTCTCCTTCCATTCTTGCTCCTATATGGATTGTTGTTATTTTTTCGTAATCTTTTTATTTTCTCTGCGCTGCTTTTTGCTGCTACATGCCCACCCAACCATGCACTCTCTGTCTCCTCTCACATCTTGTGCCATGTCGTGTTGGGCATTTTCCATTGTCCGCTGAGCATCTGTGCCTGGTGTCTGCCACTGACTGGATTAAAAGCGTAGAAAAAGACAAGCGCGGGCCCTGCATTCGCATATGGCCCCGCAGTCCAGATGACATATTGTGCTGCCAGAGAAATGTTGTTGGTACATTTGTAGCATGTGGATTTGTGCTGCTTGTCACACTGTAGGGTCTTCGTCACTATTTGGAAAAAGCTTATTTCAAGTTCTAAAATTTAGAGTAAAGATGGCTACAAAACTGTAATACATCAACAAGTAAATATTTAGATGTATTACAGTTTTGTAGGTAAGAGTTGTTACACATTGTTAAACAAGTAAAGTTTATTTCAGTCAACAAAACATAAAGATCAAGTCTCATCCGTATATGACCCTTTTTAAAGACCGAAAAGGTTTAGACTGAAGTTTAGCACTTATTTTGTATAACTATATTAGCTAATAAGTCAAACATTGTAAAGTGCTTTGTGTGACTTTGGTCTGTGAATTGTGCTACATAAATATACGTTCTACTTTTACAAGAATCCTCAGACAAAAACACATGTTGTTTAGGGTTGTATCAGTGTGCTCAAAAGTAAACATTACAATCATCAGTGAAGATACAATCCTTCAGTTGTATACACAGATGAACAGAACTGTTTTCAACCTGGATTTGAATTTTTTCAGAGAAGACTGTTCAGATTTTTGCTTGTACTGCAACTGTACAAGTATAGACAGCAACAGTTATCCAATTTCCATGTACACCCTGAAGCTAAACTGTAGCATCATGCAAAAAACATATTTAGCTATAGAACAGCTTTTCTCAGACACAAAAGCCCACACAGCACTGCTGCTGACACATAGATCTCTGTTGACAAGCAACTATTGTGCACAGAGCCGATATTCTTTGTCTTTTTAGTAACCCGTGCTTCTTTGCATTTTGCACAATATCTATATAATTAGCTATTTCAAAGGAAAAGTCTTAGACTGAATAACATATTGAAATGAATATATAAATGACGTTAGTGATTTGTGGTTTGTTTGTTTTCTATATTTTAAATTACCTACTGTAACTAAATTTGCCAAGATGTAAAGAGTCAACGGCTGTTTTCTCACATGAGAACCCAATTGGAAGGAGAAGAATCATGACATAGTTTTGGTGTTATTGTTAAATCTGGGGTTCTAGTACAAATAAAATCAGACCACAACATGCTGTCTTCCTCTTGATAGAAATGTTGCACAGCTGTAATAAAAAGCCCTGTGAGTCACTGTTTGGCTCTTTTGCTTGAGAGCTGGTTGGCTGAGTGAGTGTGGTCTTCTCTTTTCTGTCTGAAAAAGGCTGCTATAAAGATGTGACAGAAGACTAAAATACCGGTTCATGCATATGAAAACTAGTGACTGGACCAAACGTTTTGGAATGGAATGATTTTGTGACATGGTTAAATTTGTTGTTTTTTGAAAGTTGGGTACCCCAGCTTTAAAATATCTTGGTAGCAGTCTATGTAGCACTCAGAATGCAGTATAATGTGATCAAAGTCAGTGTTTGGCATGTGCAAGCAGTCGCATAGGGAGACAGATGGAGCAGGACCTCATCACATTATTCATCCTCTTACTCAATGCTGTTGTGTTGTTGTGTCCATCCATTGCACAAAGATTACACTAGTTGTTTGTCAATCTGGAGTGGTGATATAATGCTTGACTGTAAATGAGTTAACGACCCATCTGCTAATAGGCGATTGACACAAGTGAGATAAAAGTGGGATTCAGAGCCGAACAAGAGATTTTTACTTTTATTTTACGTTTCAAGCATTATGTCACCACTAAGCACTGTGTGTGTGTCTGTGCAGAGGTGGGTCCTGCAGAGCAACCTTTCAATATCCAACAACTTATGTCCCACAAGTCAATTTATTTTGTTAACCCCTAAATCACAGACAAAGTTGTCTTGGAGGACTTTTCAAAAATCAGAGATCTGATCGGAGAATCAAACAGATCAAACACAGGAAATGCTTTATCAACAAGCACATAGAATCCTTTTGTCTTTTGTTTTTTAACCAAAAAAAAAAAAAACCTGTGTCACACCCCAGATATAGATATATTGAATTGGCATTGTAGTTAGCAGTGACTCGCACACACCCCCTCTGCGTTGTCCTTCTATCACCAGTCTGCCCATTTTGACCTGGCTTGGCCCTTCTCGTCTCCATGTCCCCCAGATGAGAGCCAGAACATGGGCAGTGACACCAGCAGCCTGGTCCAGTCGCACAGTCACTCTCTGCGGAAGCGCGAGCCGGTGGACATCCCATACCAGACCGGACAGAGGCATCCAGCCATCAGAGTGGCCGACCTGCTCCAGCACATCACCCAGATGAAGTGCTCCGAGGGCTACGGCTTCAAAGAAGAGTACGAGGTAAGCCTGCCCTCAGCATGGATAAAACTGTAGATGGACAAGGCTAACCTCCTAGCACAATAATGCATGATAGGGAAGGACAAATTATTGCTGGCTGATGCTACCAATGTCACAAGGCTCCAAATTCCCTCTCATTGAGCCTGTCTGATTTACCTCTAAATGGGTTTTCTGTATGAGGCAAACACTGGTGGGGCATCAGCACTCTATTAACCCATTCCTCTACAGTCTGTCATCAAATATTTAAAGGGTGCCTATTACTGTATTGTTTTTGTAACATTCCCAACCAACTTACATAGTAGACAGAACTAGAAATATGGATATACAAAACAAAATAAATAAATACGGAGAGAGATTAGCGCATATGGTTGACGGATGAAAACTTTTTCTTTTCAAAGCCACTGAGCCTCAAATACTGAACCATAGGTTGCGCTCATGTTACATTTCAAGGTGTCAAGGGTTGAAAATTGTGGTGGAGGGCAGCTGCAAAATCCCTCCTGGTAACTGCCAAAAGTCAGACTTCTGTCCGAGTAATTTCCCCGTAATTCGTGGGACAATCCAAATGAAACAACTGGTCACAAAGTTACTCATCTTTGTTAACACATATTAACTATGGTAAGTAAGTAAGTAAGTAAGCTTTTATTTATATACCGCCTTTTCACTGCACATCGGAGTCTCAAAGCGGTTTACAATTGTTGGGTGGGGGTCGCCAGTACAGGAGGCACATGCCAGACCTATTGTACATATTTTTAGTGGTAGGGGAAACCGGAGCACCCGGAGGAAACCTACGCAGACACGGGGAGAACATGCAAACTCCACTCAGAAAGGCCCTGGTCCGACCGGGATTCGAACCCAGGACCTTCTTGCTGAGAGGCGAGAGTGCTAGGGGAAGTGCTAGGGGAGAGTGCTCCCCTACCACTCTGAGAGGCGAGAGTGGTAGGGGAAAATATGCACGATGCTGGCCAGTAGAAGGAACAATAAACATGGAAATAATGTTTTCAATGGGTCTATAATCCCTATCAAACATTTCTCTGAATTTCTTTCAAGACTTTTTTCCAACCTTACTTCTTTCCTATAGTTATATTGGCCCCTACCCTCCAACTGACCTCGAAAATCAATGCAACCTAACAGTCCAAAACTTGTAGGACTTTGGGTGAGGTATTACTTTTATAACCAAGTGTAGGGCTCTCCAAAGTTTTCCTTAGAAATAAAAGAAATTGGGTGCACCAATCTACACGACTTTCTCTAAAACCTCTGTTGGTCTTTCACTAAAACCAATTTTCCTTTGCCTAAGTAAAAACGTTATCATTTCTCTTTCAACAATAGCAGCTTGACACTCTTCCAGACAGTCGACCCCTGTTACAACTCCTCCGAGGTTAAAAAGTGTAGTTTTCAGTCTGACTGGGCCTCATAACACTCCACCATCCTCCACTCTTCTATTTCGCAGACGTAGCACAAATGTTATGTTCCTCCAGATGCACTTTTACGATAAATAGTTTATGTTCTCTGTCTTGGTGCGTTTACAGCTTTTGTTGCTCATCTGTTCATTGTCTTCCGCTGTGATTGTGCACTTTTTTGTTTCTTCTGTCCTGTATTTATGTTGCATGCACTCGTTCGCCTCAGACAAAGTGGAGGGCGATGTAGTTGTGGAGAGCCAGCTAATGTATGCTCTTCTCCAGCTGTTCTTCAAGGACTTACTCAGATCAAAAGGACACAATCAATTGCACACAGCTTTACTGAAGTGCACTAAGGATTCAGGGATTACATATTTTCTAGGTTTCAACTTTTTTTCTTTTTACTTCTTGATTGTATAATTATGGTAAATGATCAAAATCATTTAGCGCTTTTCAACATTTTCAAGGCTCTCAAAGGGCTCCATATCACCCACTCAAACATTCATACACCAGGGGACACAGACTCTGGGGGCGAGGGTTAAGTGTCTTGCCCAAGGACACACAGCAGCAATCACTAATGCCAACCTGTGGGTCAGTCGATGTTGGAGCTAAATCCAATGGCCAACCTCCAGCTCAGAGAGCTTATTATTTTATATTGGTATTCAACCTAATTCTTAAAATGTTCTCCACAAACTGCTTCCAGCTTGGTGTAAAACTATAATTTTACACCAGCTATTATCACTCCAATTACTAGTGGGGAAATATTCACACCATTCAGAAGGTGAAGTAGATATCCACATGCCAGTTTCTGCCTACGCACTGATTTAGACTTTATTTCATTTGAAAGTCTCCTCTGCATTAGACCCACCCTTCAATGCCACTATAAACATTTGCCTGCAGCATTATAAAGGTTATTATAAAAGCATTACAAAGGTTTGAGAACTGCAATGCTCCACCATTGCAGTTCCCAAACCTTTGTAATTATCTATTTTTCTTCACTGATTTGGGGAATTTTACTGCATGAATCAGTTCCACCCATTTTATACCTCCTATGTGGTGAATGTTCAATTTGAGATATAATTTTGAAGAATCTTGCAGCCTTATCACATTTTACCAATAGTTACAGGAGACATAAACAGTAGGTTTGCCAGTGTGGCTTTGTGATTGGACCAGGAGTAGCAGAAGCAACAGTAGTAGCAGCAGCACGGACTCCCCCCTCCTCTTCCTCATTAGTACATGACTCTGGCTTTGCTCCAGTCCCCTCATAACGCCCTCCTCCCCAGTCCCCACACGGCAGCCCGACCCCAGTTGGAACAGCATGTCTTCACACACACAGTGATAATGTCTCTTGTTAAATATAAGCTAGAATGAAAGGTGCAGTTTGTTTTGGGGAGTTTAGAAGTCACTACATTGGTCAGATCTAAACAAGGAGACTACAACTACTACACTGTAAAAAAGAAAAAGTTAGTTCAACTCAAAATTTCAAAGCAACCAGCTGCAAAGGATTTTTGAGTTGAAGGCATTAACTTAATTCTTCAAGTTTTGAAGAACTACACTTATTAAGTTGTGTCAGTTAAGTTTTCCAAGTTCTGGCAACTAAGTGTTTAAAGTCTGTAAAAACTTACTTTTTTAAGTTCAGATTACTGTCCCCTACAATAACTTACTATTTTGAGTTTAAATTAGCCCCCACATTAAACCATCATGATGTTTATTTATTGAGCACATTTTACAGACCAAGGTCACTTGGGTAGGGGAAACCGGAGCACCCGGAGGAAACCTATGCAGACACAGAGAACATGCCAATTCCACACAGAAAGGCCCTGTTCCGACCGGGATTCGAACCCAGGACCTTCGTGTCAAGAAGCGAGAGTGCTATCCACTCAGTAAAGACTGACCCAGGGAATATATAGGGATACTTTGGCTTGGACCTGTCGATTACGGTTGGTAAAAACAAATACAATGATTTTTTTGGTCAAATTAGTTTGTGTTCAAAAGTTGAATGCAGCTGGTTGCCATAACACATATTTAAATGAGCAAACGCAGATAAGTTGACCTCACTCTAGCTCGGTGAACTGTAAAAACGACAACTCAAAATTGTTCACCTTACTCAGATTTTTGCATTCACTGACAATAAAATTTCCAGTTGGAACTGGAACTGTCTGTTGTGAGCCACTTGAACTTTCAGAAGTTCACTACAACTTCAAAGTCAAATCAACTTAATATATCAAATAAGATGAACTTTTCATCAGAAACTTCAGAAAGTGAGTTCAAGTGGCTCACAAACAGACAGTTGCAGTTCCAACTGGCAATTTTATTGTCAGTGAATGCAAAAATCTTAGTAAGGTGAACAATTTTGAGTTGTATTTTTTACAGTGTACTACTACCACCACTATTACTACTACTATCACCACTACTGCTACTACTATTAACTACTACCATTACTATTACTACCATTACTATTACTACTATTACTAACACCACCACTACTCAATGTGGTTAGCAATCTTGCATGAATGTCGTGGGTTCGAATCCCATTGGAGTCTTTCCGAGTGCTCTGGTTTCCCTTCCAATAAAAACATGTACAACAGGTAAAATCCTCCAGCTCTGGTCCGGACTAAGAGCATCGACATTGCAGGTCTGCTACACAGTCGACAACTGAAGAAACTTCTATGACTTTTTATTGTTCATGCACTTTACAACCATAAATCATTCTAAAGCTAACACCACAAATGTCTTCAAACGTTAGTACTCTGGCCGCGATTACTTCATGCTTCCATTAATCAAATGAGTGACCGAAACGTAGACATAGCCGCAGTGGATGAAAGTAATGAGCTCTGGCCAAGCTCATGTAATCAATATAAATTAAGACATAGTTTATGCAAATGCGTAGTCCTAAAATTAATGAATGAAAGTGTCAGGAGAGATGCTGATCGTCATCTGTCTAAACGCTGCAGGAAGCCAACTTGCATACATCACTGCTCAGATCTTCTTTTGACTTTAGTATCAAGGAAATACTTGTATAGGAGATAAATTGCATAGGTATCCTGTGATTGAAATTTTTATTTTATTTTATTTTTATTTTAAAGTCCTAAAACGTAAATCCTGCTCAGTTAATTCCCAAAAACCGTGAACCATACAACTTACATAAACTTACAATCTCTTCTTTTGAAACACTGGCAAACCATCATGAACCAAACTGGCCCCAAAAGATAAAGTGAACTAAATATTGTTCTTGCAGTGTTTTTGTTATAATTTCAGTGTTAAAATAATGGCAATAATAGAACTTATAAAGCGCTTTTCACAGGGGTGATATGTACAATTGGTCTGGCATTCGCCTCTTGTACGATGACCCGCTTCCATCACTGTGTGGAGTGAGGAAGAATACTCAAAGCAACGTGTGACCCTCAGTCAGTGAAAGGGGCTATACTTACCTACATAACAAAATTCCCTCAATACACGGTGGTGGTAAACTACTCATGTAGCCACAGCTTCCCCGGGACAGACTGATGGACGCGGGGCTACTAATCCGTCCCCTCTGACCACCTCCATCATTCACACACACAGTAGACTCATAGACATGTATAGTCTAATACAACCATTGTAATCATT